ATGTAAAACGGATGTGCACGCACAACTTTTGTTCTAGAACATGATCAAAATACCGATGTTGAAGAAGAACGAGAACTGTCCGCTGGAGTGTGCAGCCAGTGAAAGCGAAAAAAAAGAAGAAAAATGAGAATAATAATAATAATAATAATAATAATAATAAGAAAAATAATAATAATAATAATAAGAAGAAGAAGAATAAGAAGATGATGTAGAAGAAGGAGGAGGAGGAGAAGAAGAAGAAGAATAAGAAGAAGAAGAAGAAGAAGAATAAGAAGAGAAGAAGAAGAAGAAGAAGAAGAAGAAGAAGAAGAAGAAGAAGAAGAAGAAGAAGAAGAAGACTTGTGAACACATGACCTTAATCCTCAATAGGCTTCATTGCACCACTATCAACCTACTAAAAAAAGCAACAAGTCTGTGTAACTCTACAAACACGACATTTTTAGAAATAAAGGAGGGAATTCTAAACATTCATTCCGTACTTGCTGCTACAACGAAGACAATCATTATTTGAATTCTTTCCATGTTGACGCAGTTGGGGTCTTTCGTCTGCCTCCTTGCTTCCGATTTTATTTGTTCTCACAAACAACAGCCATCACCTGAGGAAAGGAAAGTTTAAAAGCCCGCGGAACTGACAAATGGCATTAGTTTCACCGGAACTGTGGTGGAGTAATTCTGAAACTGGAGCTTTGAAAGTGAAATTATCAAACGACCACGGGAAAAGTCAAAACTTTTCTTAGGCACACGTTTGCCTTAACAGTTTTGAATTTGCTGTACTATCTTAGTGAACTGATGAGAAAAACTTTTAATCCAAAATGTTGTAAAGTCAAATGAAAGGCATGGTATATAAATTACTTTGAATAAAAGCTGATTTTTTGTGACTAAAATATTAATTATTATATACGAAATTAGCAGTATGAGCAGTGTTGACAGTTACAAGAATCAGTGAAAGACATATAAGTCTTGTAGTAATTATGGTACAGCCTTCAACGGTATACTGCCTAAACGATATCAGCAAACCTTATGAATGTGGACCTAATTGAGTTAGCAATGATTAATTATTTAAACGTCAATTATTTCACTGAAATAACAACGGAAATTTATTAACAGATGATATCTTAAAGATAAGATACATTCTCTTTCGTCAATTATTGCACTGATACAACTTGAACCTACCAACTGATGACAACTTAAGACTGTTATAACGTGTGAAAATTATTAAAATTTTGTGAAAGTTTAAAGAAGATTTCCTTTGGAAGTTCTCCCCAACAAGATTCGAATATATTACAATACAGTGCAGTTTTGTCAACATTAGGACGTTGAAGAAGATCGACTGTGTCCGGAGATTTGAAGTTGCAAGTGGATTTTGTGAGAAGTTCAAGGCTAGCTCGTGGAACTTTGCAAGGAGAGCTGCTACAGAAGGTAATTATGATTTTAACTCTTTGAGTGCCAGCTAGCAAATACTTTAACTCTTTGGGTCTGGAGAAATCCTAGCGTAAAGCTGCCACTGTATCAATGTGAAGACGTTAGAGTAATAGCAGTGTGTGATAGAAGAAACTGCTCTAATTAGTAGCAAAGTATGAGTTGACGTAACAAGCGAGTAAAGGACGCTTTCCCATGCCTTCAAGAGTACTGGGCATAGACCTATACTTTATTGACCAACCGGCACTAAGTGGGTGATGTGGTCAACATCACACCGGCCACCTTTACTTCCCAAGACTTTACCTTTCTCAATTCAGATTGGGTCGACCAGGGAGCCAACGTCATTTTTGAAGAAAACAAAAGTCGGGCTTCGTCAGGATCTGAACCCACGACCTTCGGATCCGCAGGCGAACGTTGAGCCACTACACCACGGCAGCTCTCGGTGTAACAAAGTGTTTGTGATTAAAGAGAGTCAGAAAATTTTTCTGCACTTGGACTCAACAATGACTGCACAGTGAATTGCTTGGCATTGAAAGAGCTTTGTTACTGTTTCTGTTCACCGACTAGTACAGTCACTACCCAGAAGAAAGCAATGGCAAACTACTTTCTGCAAAACCTGCCAAGAAACCATAACAGCCATAAAACATCTTGCTTGTGATCGAAAAGTTTTTCGGAAGGTTGTTATGAGAGCAAGGTTCTGCAAAGAACATGCTACTGACTGACTGCCTGAGTAAAAGAATTAACCATGGATAGCTGTGACTAAAAAGTACGCATGGAAAAAAAACTTTTTATGAATTTGTTTATTTAAATTTAAAACGCATCGCATAATTAATGCACTAAAATGACGAAAATAATTTGTCACGTAATTTTGACACCAGAGACTTAATAATTTTTTTTTAAATTAAATTCATCTCTAATTTTGTTTTACATGTAATAAAAATCGTTGTCGACCTTCGTTAAAATAAAGAAATAATTACTTAGCATATTTATTTTAAGTCGTGGGTTCGGATTCTGCCGGAACCGGACTATTTTCAAAAATAACCCTGGCTCCTATGTCGACCCAGGCTTAAATGGGTACCAAGAAAAGCTCTGGGAAGTAAAGGCGATGGGTGTGATGTTGACTACATCACCCACCGAGTGTTGATTGGTCTATAAAATATCAGTGGAGCCCTATTTCCCTAATACGCCAAAGGGCGTGAAAAAAGGTCCTTTATTTTTTACAATGTTTATGATTAACAGTTGAATCAAATGGGGTGGGGGTGAGGGGCGGGCGCAGGGTATAGGAGGCGATATGGGATCAGAAAGGGATAACTAAGAATGTCGTGGAGTGGGGGAGTGGGGGCGTGGAGTTAGGGAGAACATCGAATGGGGAGTACAGTATGAGAAGGCAGAGAGTGAGGGAGGGCTTATGGTTGCAAAAGACATCTAGTTGGGGAGGACATAATATGAGGGAGACCACAGACAGGTGAAGGTATGGGGTGTGCTGCAGGATATAGCAAGGAATCGAACGGTGTTTTATTAGTGAGTAGAAGGCATGTGTTTTTGTTTTTGTTTTGGGAGGTAGGGGGTTGAAAGGTAAAACGTAGTGGTAATTGTAGTAGTAGTAGTAGTAGTAGTAGTAGTAGTAGTAGTAGTAGTAGTAGTAGTAGTAGTAGTAGTAGTAGTAGTAGTAGTAGTAGTAGTATTAGCAGCAGGATCAGCAGCAGCAGTAGTAGTAGTAGTAGTAGTAGTAGTAGTAGTATTAGCAGCAGGATCAGTAGTAGTAGTAGTAGTAGTAGTAGTAGTAGTAGTAGTAGTAGTAGTAGTAGTAGTAGTAGTAGTAGTAGTAGTGGTAGTAGTAGTAGTAGTAGTAGTAGTAGTAGTAGTGGTAGTAGTAGTAGTAGTAGTAGTAGCAGCAGCAGCAGCAGAAAAAGAAGAAGAAGGAGGAGAAGAAGAAGAAGAAGAAGAAGAAGAAGAAGAAGAAGAAGAAGAAGAAGAAGAAGAAGAAGAAGAAGAAGAAGAAGAAGAAGAAGAAGAAGAAGAAGAAGAAGAAGAAAAAGAAAAAGTAAATGCGATTCGGCAACGTTACAGCTTTAATGTATTTTTTTCATATATCATAAACATCAGAAAGAGACAGTCATCATTTTCTGGTCATGTTATGAGAAGAAGGAAACTAGTGACCACTGGAAAGTTTATGGGGAAAAGAGAAGGGGGAAAACAATTCGTAACGATTCTTGACAACCTTCTTGTCATGGCATGCAGGGCTGTCACACGAACTGATACATGCCGTTGAAAATCACAGATAGTGGCGATGTATGATCGCCTACACCAGTCGCCGAGGCACTTGATGATGATGATATTATGTATCGTTGTCTGTAATCTCTATCCGTATTTGTGGAAGTCATTACCAGTTAATGTATTTCGCTGAAATAATGAACGTAAAATTGTGACAACAGAGATGAAATGCATTAGAAGAGCTGGAGGAGTTTCAAGGAAAGACTGAATATGAATTTACGAAATCAGACGAATGCTAGGAATAAAGCCAGTCTCACAGGCCATCAAAGAACAACAAATAAAGTGGTGTGGACACCTAACAAGAATGCCCTGGTACTATCTGCCACAGCGAGCCACACTAAAACGGGTATAGAGCGAGTGGAAGACCTCGGAAAAGATGAAGTGATGGCATTAGGAACACAAAAATGAACATCAGTCTTAACAGGGCTCTTGACAGAGCTCATCAAAGAATATTACACCCCGATACTTCAATGAGGTACAAGGTGGAAAAGAAGAAAAAAAAGAAGAATGTATTTTGCTTCCCAATTGTTCACTTCAATCTTACACAGAAAACTCATATCTTTCAGGTAGTTCAAAAACTCTCAAGGGGCTAAGTCTCAAAGCGAAACCTGCAGCTGGAGAATGTCGTATGTACGAAGCACGCACAGAGCAACAAACCTGATGCACCTGCTGGCTGCGGCGACGATGTTCACGTCAATGACCCTGGTAGCCAGTCATGGGCGTCTGATGGATCCCCCGGCTAGAAACAGCATGTGGAGGCTGGGGTTCAATAACCCCGTCAACTATAATGATAATGAGCTGTATTGTGGGGGCAGAGTGGTAAGTCGAGTAGATCAGTAGTTATATTCCTTAGAAAGAAAATAGGAGCTTTTGAGCTAAAATGCTATAGAAAGATTCTCAGAATACCATGGACAAATAAGAGAAGAAGTACGGACATTCTAAAAGTTCTTTCTGAACATCAAGGAAGATTGGCTAATAAACAGCATCTTGGCTGGGAAACTGAAATATTTTGCTCATATAAGCGCCATGGTGAACTAGAAAAAACATGAGCAGAAGGCATTGTACCAGGAAGGAGGGGCAGGGGCCGACCAACGAAAATAAGGCATAGGATGTAGGTGACTCCACGAATATGAAATTATACGAGGTGGGAGAGCTGACGAGAGACCGAGTTTCTTTCAGGCAGACTGTGATGAGAGCGACTTTCTACAGAAGACCTGCTACATGATGATGATGAGTTATAGTTGGGACAACCATGATAACTTGAGCTGAAAATGGGATATCCTACCAATATTTAGAGCTGAAAATGGGATATCCTACCAAAATTTAGAGCTGAAAATTGGATATCCTACCAATATTTAGAGCTGAAAATGGGATATCCTACCAATATTTAGAGCTGAAAATGGCATATCCTACCAATATTTAGAGCTGAAAATGGGATATCCTACCAATATTTAGAGCTCCATTCTCAAACTCGACGTTGTTATATCACATGACAGACTTTGATACACTAAGCGACGTCCATTTGCTTCCAAGGGGAGCTTTGGGTTATAATTGTGACTAGGTTATGTTCCATATAAAAGCCAAATAAAATGGCCTAGCAATGAACGCTAAGAGCTATGAAAACGACTCCTGCAATGTTGAAGCGATCACAGGAACACACCAAAATTTTTTCCCGACTGGCAACGAAGTCGTCAACCGAAGAGCCAATGAGTGACCCTGTCATCGATGTTCTTCAATCCTCGAGCCAGCTTCTAGATTTTTTATATAAAAAAAAAGAACAGCTGAGGAACGGGGAAGCAGTTGAATACCGACGGGACACTCCTGAAAACGGGAAAGTCCCAATGAAAACGGGAAATATGGGTACCCTAGTTATAATACAATTCATCGTCATTATCAAGTATAGAGATTATCCCAATTAAAAAGGGGACAGGTAATAAATTGTCCCGTATATTTTAGAACAGTCACTGTGTGGGTTGCAGGATCCCGTTGTTGGGAACACAATTATTGACCCATTGCGCCGTAAACAATCTTGTGGGAAAAGTTGATTAATTAGGGGTGCTTTCTTCAAAGTCAGAGTGCATCTGAAGAAGAAGAAGTAGGAGAAGAAGAAGAAGAAGAAGAAGAAGAAGAAGAAGAAGAAGAAGAAGAAGAAGAAGAAGAAGAAGAAGAAGAAGAAGAAGAAGAAGAAGAAGAAGAAGAAGAAGAAGAAAAAGAAGAAGAAGAAGAAGAAGAAGAAGAAGAAGAAGTAGAATTCCGTTTTCTCACCTTTATAGCTAAAGTTTGCATACAAATAAGTTATATCTGTAAAACTGATGTGCACGCAGCACTCAGATTCTGAAACAAGACCTGAGTCTAGAAGTGGGCGAACAACCATAACTTTTTTCCGTCGGAGTTTACAGCCGCAGAATGTGAAATACAATATTTGTGTTTCCATGAAATACGGCAGGCCTGTTCTCATGTATATCTATATTTCCAGAGACTTGATTTGACATTCTAGCTGCCTGTCCAGTGTCCAGGTTTCTGCACTGTACAGCAATGTTGAATATACATAACATTTATGACTCTTAATTTTGTTGTGTTGTCTGCCTTTCTAGCCGTCAATAATTTTCCCATCTTATTGATGATAATTTATTTTATCCAGCCTATTTATCCACTATAACCAAGCTTTACTGTGGAGATGGCATCTGATACATTTCTATTCTGCATTAGTGCAATTTGTTCGACATGTTACTTTTCGTTATTGCCTCTATTCTTGATTTCGTCTTCTGATTTCAGTTGCCAGTTGTTGATATTATGCTTCTTAGTACTTAGCCTCAACTAGTTTAAGGTAGTCTACTGTGAGTTGGATTTTTATTATTAACGTTTATTAAGTTCACCTTTGTTTGTTTGTTTGTCTGGTACCTTCATTGCGTTACATTTTAAAATACTATTTTCTGCAACGCTATCAGGCTGAATTATATCAACAGAATCTATATAACAAATAATAAACGTGTTGATAAAAGATGTCATTGTAAAAGTCAGTGATTCCTAAACTGTACGCCGTGGCGCCCTGGGGAGCCTCGACCTCTTCACTGTGGCGCCGCGAGATATTCGAAGATACACGAGTTTTGATTTGTTTTTATCTCGTACATACGAATAGTCATACTTTTACTTAGGTTAGGGCGCCCTGGAAAAATTATAATAAAAAATTTAAAAAAAGCGCCGCTACTAAAAAAAGTTGGGGAAACACTGTTAAACTATTTTGTATCTTTTTAGTGCAATGGTTATTGTGTGCAGTTTAAGTAATACAACATTTTTTTTAGACAAAAAGTGTTGTTTTGGTTTTAAAAAATATTTCTACTTATGGCTCGTCTTGCGGTATGTGGCTTATCAATTGCAGTGAAATAATTATGTGGCCCATATTCCACAGACGCAATGGGCCAGAAACAAAGGGAAATGTGGCGTCTGTGGGGACCCATACCACAACGTCATCAAGGACCATGAAGTTGGGGGAAAGTACGCGAACGGAATCATCTCAAGAGAGTACACTCAAGGAGGCACCATTGAGATCATTGTTCACATCACAGCCAACCACAAGGTGAGTCTTAATAGTGTCTTCCGCGTAGTGTTGGTTGTAATCTTTGTATGCAGTACGGCCCACTATAGCTTTTTATATTTCCACCCAGGTTAATGAAAATCCCGTTTTTGTGCAACTACGAGGGGCCTGTGTGTGTTTACTATGTTTATCGAATAAATTTATGCACAAATCAAACTACACTTTTATTAATTTGCCACATTTGTTAAAAATTAATTTTTTATTTTTAAGATACGTTAGTGTGCTATTAGGAAATATAATAATAATAAAAATAATAATAAATAGCACACTAATTTATCTTCAAAATGAGAATTAATTAACAAAAACATGTTGCAAATTAGTGAAACTGTAGTTTAAATTGTGTATAAATCATATCGATAAACATAGTGAACACACACCGGCCTCTCCGAATTGCACAAAACGGAAATTTCCATTGACCTGGATGGCCTTATAAAAAGCTATAGTGGACTATGGTCTGCAGCTTCTCTCTCGTGTGCTGTCGATCTTTTGACTTAGGTCGTAGAGTATTTGTGGCCATGTCTGTCACTTCTATGGTAACAGTCGTCTCATGATGGCTCACGTGTGTATCGGAAGGCTGTAGGTTCAGGTCCTGACGTAGCCGGATTTTGTTCCTGCAACAAACGATCTTAGCACCCAGGTCGATCCAGCATTGAGTGGATACCAGGAGCAGTCCTGGGAAGTAAAGGTGGCCGGCGTGATGCTGACCACATCATTCACTAAGTGCAGATTGATCTAAAAATATAGGTCTGGCTGTATATAACCAATAGCTTGAAGACGTGTAAAAGAGTCCTTTACTTTCACTCTTTTAGTTCATACCGTGTAGTATTATTGGTGATGTTTCTTCTAAGTATTCTGTCGATCGACCCGTTTCTTACTCCGGGCAGTACCTAAATGAAGGGCTGTTTCCGAAGGCAGTGGCTGGTGGCTCTACGTTCACGGCTGACAATGTTTACTTTTATTTTCGTGCTAGGATGTGTCGGAGTACAAGGAAATGAGCAAGCTGATAGGCTTGCAGGTCAGGCTACTGTGAAAGCCAGACAAACAATGGACCAGGCTGATATACTAAATTCTCTACGAGTTTTGGGTCGTTTGCGTGAACCAACTGAGAACTATGAATCTGCAACCATTGTCAAACTGCAAGAACAGCAGGTTAAACGGGATGTCGCCAAGCAAGAACACTACGCGGGTAGCCAAAGAATAATAATAAACCAACCCAGAACTGGTGTCGTTAGCCGCTACGCGCTATGGAATTTACTGAGGAGGGAATCCGAAAACTTGTGGACTGAGTGGTTCAACGTGCAATGAGGATAATCTGTCGACTAACTAACTAACTGTACCTTAATGTTTATAATTCTATCCTGAATGAGATGAAATAATCCCAACTTTCAGCTAAGTTGATACAAGAACCGACATATCATAGAAGTGAAAACAGGCATATTTCGTGCAGAGTGGCAAACATCACTTCAGAGGTCCCAGGTAGTTAGCCTCCTTTGGATATCTTCTCCTGGTATGAAGGTGTGTTAGGAAATCAGCAGGCACATAGACTGTCCGGTTCTGCACAACTTTGTGGTAAATCGATATATGACAAGTTATACATTGTTGGGGTCCTTTTTGGAGCGAGTCAACAGTGCGGAGGCGCAGATAGATGATTACGGTCTGAAGAGAATGACGCTGCGATGATTTACCAGAAAATCTGACCGACGCTCAACACTCAGGAAAAGGGTGAGACGGATACACAATCAGACGGTTACTGGTGCTGTCAGAATCGGAACTCTTCGTTTGCTACTGAATATGGGGACTGAGCACTTATGGGAGTTTCCTGATTTCTGTGATGTCGATTCTTAATTCAACATTCAACATAAGATAGAAATTGCCCTCACACGGGGAAATCACATGGGAGGTAAAATTGTGTACTTTAGGGAGAGCTCTATTGATCGATAGAAGGGAGTGGTAGATATCTCCGGCGCAACTGGCTAACTGGAAGAAGTACGGAATAGGCTTATTTACGGACTACTTGAAGTAGCGTCAGTGTATAGGTTTGTGTGTGTGTATTTGTGTGTGTGTGTGTATGTGTGTGTGTAGTAGTAGTATTAGTAGTAGTAGTAGTAGTAGTAGTAGTAGTAGTAGTAGTAGTAGTAGTAGTAGTAGTAGTAGTAGTAGTAGTAGTAGTAGTAGTAGTAGTAGTTGTAGTAGTAGTAGTAAAATTCACAGATAACAGAGTTTTTATAATCGAATTCATGTTACTAGGGTTACTTCGAATTTCGAATTTGCCCCGTCGAAGATCCCAAAGTGGAGGTCACGCAGGAATGTCTGGACACACATTTGATGACCTTGGCAGGCGGAGAAGGGTCAAGGTAAGAAAGGTCAAGAGACCTATCCAAAGCAAGAAAATTAAAAGTAAATTATCTGTAGATATTACTGCATCTAACATATGATGCTAAACTCATTAATAAAAATAAATTTAGACCTCCGTTTAGCATTTAAAAAAAAAATGCAAATCGGAGGTCTCCATTTCTTTTTACGACATTTTAAAAAAAAGACATTTCTGGCTAGGTGATCTATTCTTTCTCTTCTGCCTTTTATCCGCCAATGGAGCATAGGCGCTCAACCCACTAACACCAGGACGTTCTGTCCTTTGCTATCGGAAGCAGCTCACTACATGCCCTCTTTATCTGTTTAACTTCACTCTCATGCTTTCTTCCCAGTGTGTGTTTTATGTTGTTGTTGTCTGCCTTTATTTCTGTGCTCTTGTGGATTCAAGTGCAAAGCTATTCTGATTATTTTGTTCTGGGGTTTTCTCAGCGTGTGCCCTATACAACGCCAGCGTCTTTTCTTCAGCTCTTGATCCACTGGAACTTGTTTAGTTCTCTACCAAAGCTCAGCGTTAGTTATACTGTCGTGCCATTTAACTAAAGTGGCTCTAATATGCAGCAACATACACAAACGAGTTAAAATAAACATCTTTATGTCAAGCAACTTTCCCGCCATCAGTACTAGAACTCTGCGCTGGCTGCTGAAGATGAGGACGCAGCACGTATGGAAATGCCCCGAGTGCTGGGATGTCAATTTCTGACTCAACTCAACAGAGCTAAAAACCTGGCTATTGAAAGAGAAACGTTCAGGCCTGTCGTGACCAGAGCGGTGGCCTGTAAAGACCTACCTGTTCATTGATTTTGAATATGCCATTGCTAGGACTAAATGAGAGGCGCTTCATACCATTGTCTAAATCAGCGCAACACGGTCTGCTGAATAATTACCTGCAGATATAATGGTACCACACACGGAGAAGGGAGCTGAAGAATGAAGTTAGAAAGATGAGGACATGAGGAGAGCTGAATGCAAGTTGGTTGAGGGCCTATGCTCCACTGGGGTCGAGAAAAGCAGAAGAAGAAGAATCGCACCAGCTATTCCGGAATTATGAGCATAGCCACATATGCAAACCATCACCCAAAGCTGGCTAAACCATTAGCCTTCAGTTTTCTAGAGAGCTGTACTAAATTGTTGAGAAAAAGTAACAGTGTAGCTGGAACAATTAGATGACCTCCTCAGCAGCGTTAAAACTGTTTAATAAAAATTGATTGTCCTGGTGTTGAAGTTGATTTTGGTGAAGTGGCTATAATAATGATGATAATGCTGCTGATTCTTATCATAATCTAACGGTTTTTCATAACGACTTTGATGAAGTGATATTATTGATGATAATGCTGCTGATTCTTATAATCATCTAACGGTTTTTCATAACGACTTTGATGAAGTGATATTAATGATGATAATGCTGCTGATTCTTATAATCATCTAACGGTTTTTCATAACGACTTTGATGAAGTGATATTAATGATGATAATGCTGCTGATTCTTATCATAATCTAACGGTTTTTCATGATGACTGTGATGAAGTGATATTAATGATGATATCCTCGTGTGGGTTCCGCGGCCCTATTTTTGGAGAAAAAAGAATACACCCCCTACCCCCACAAGTGGGTCGTAAAAGTCGACTAATTGGGTGTATATCCTCGCAAGTCGGGGCGCATCTTTCTCCAGGACAGAAACCAGTAGCTTGCATAAACAATTAAGTCAGATCTATAAAAATGCAACACACAGATTCTGGAACAAGACCAAAGTCCAGAAGTGGACGGACAACCAGATCTTTACCGCCGGAGTTTGCAGCCGGCGAACGCAAAGAAGAAGAAGAAGAAGAAGAAGAAAAAGAAGGAGAAGGAGAAGAAGAAGAAGAAGAAGAAGAAGAAGAAGAAGAAGAAGAAGAAGAAGAAGAAGAAGAAGAAGAAGAAGAAGAAGAAGAAGAAGAAGAAGAAGAAGAAGAAGAAGAAGAAGAAGAAGAAGAAGAAGAAGAAGAAGAAGAAGAAGAAGAAGAAGAAGAAGAAGAAGAAAAAGAAGAAGAAGAAAAGAAGAAGAAGAAAGAAGAAGAAGAGAAGAAGAAGAAGAAGAAGAAGAAGAAGAAGAAGAAGAAGAAGAAGAAGAAGAAGAAGAAGAAGAAGAAGAAGAAGAAGAAGAAGAAGAAGAAAAAGACGAAAAAGAAGAAGAAGAAGAAGAAGGAGAAAAAGAAGAAGAAAAAGAAGAAGAAGAAAAAGAAGAAGAAGAAGAAGAAGAAGAAGAAGAAGAAGAAGAAGAAGAAGAAGAAGAAGAAGAACAAGAAGAAGAACAAGAAGAAGAACAAGAAGAAGACGACGACGAAGAAGAAGAAGAAGAAGAAAAAGAAGAAGAAGAAGAAAAAAAAAAAAAGAAGAAGAAGAAGAAGAAGAAGAAGAAGAAGAAGAAGAAGAAGAAGAAGAAGAAGAAGAAGAAGAAGAAGAAGAAGAAGAAGAAGAAGAAGAAGAAGAAGAAGAAAAAGAAGAAGAAGAAGTAGAAGACGACGACGAAGAAAAAGAAGAGGAAGAAGAAGAGAAAGAAGAAGAAGATTATGAAGATTAGGATGCCCGTTCAATCGATAATGACAAAGCTTCGCTGCTGGTGAAGAGATGAAAGGAACTACATACACAAGTTTGTTGATTCTCGAAAACGTAGTTCTCCTTAAGTAGCACATTAAAAACATTTGCTCAGAACTTTGTCAAAAACAGAAGCAAATCATTTATGGGGTTAGTTTTGAAAATCCAAATTTAGGAGCAATTAACATCTAACTTACTCAATTTATGTCTTACCATTGTAGATTTTTTCTTCCGGAGGGAAAGTCAAACCAGTTTTTTAATGTTTCGGTGAAACTTCCTGAAGATGTCACGTGCAAACAATGCGTTGTCCAATGGAAATACAGAACAGGTTAGTACATGTTAACAATGTATTTACTGTAGATAAAGGTTTAGAAAACGTGTTACCTAGAATGTATTGGCACGCAAACCCACAGGGTCAAAGAAGTAAAGGAAAACTTAAAAAAAAAAAAACAGAGACAGGGGCTAGAGAGTGAATAAAAAAACAAAAAAGGGATATTATGGGAGTGAACTGAATGCAATGCCCCAAACGAAATGACCTTTTTTGGGGCAACTGTCCTTTAGTTGACGGCATATGCTCCACTGAGGTATTACAAATAAGGCAGCAACAGAGTAAAGATATAGCTCCATCTTCTAGATTATGTTTAAAAAAAAACAAAAAACTTACTAAAAAGTAATGTTGAGTGGGGAAACAGTTACAGAAGAAGAAAAAGAATAGGAAAAAGAAGGGGGAAAAAAAACAAGAAATGTAAGGAATAATAATAATAATAATAATAATAATAATAATAATAATAATAATAATAAGAAAAATAATATAGAGGAGAAGAATGAGGATGGGTGAATGATTAATAATAAAAAAGGCTATCAAATAATAACAAGCAGAAGAAGAAGAAAAAGAAGAAGAAATGAAGAAGAAGAAGAAGTAGGGCTAGGAGGAGGAGGAGAAGACGATGATGATGAAAAAGAAGAGTAATAAGAAAAAAAAGAAGGAGGAAAAGAAGAAAAAGACGACGTCGAAGAAGAAGAAGAGGAAGGAGGAGGAGGAGAAGAAGAAAAAGAACAAGAACAAGAAGAAGAAGAAGAAAAAGAAGAAGAAATGAAGAAGAAGAAGAAGTAGGGCTAGGAGGAGGAGGAGAAGACGATGACGATGAAAAAGAAGAGTAATAAGAAAAAAAAGAAGGAGGAAAAGAAGAAAAAGACGACGTCGAAGAAGAAGAAGAGGAAGGAGGAGGAGGAGAAGAAGAAAAAGAAGAAGAACAAGAAGAAGAAGAAGAAAAAGAAGAAGAAATGAAGAAGAAGAAGAAGTAGGGCTAGGAGGAGGAGGAGAAGACGATGATGATGAAAAAGAAGAGTAATAAGAAAAAAAAGGAGGAAAAGAAGAAAAAGACGACGTCGAAGAAGAAGAAGAGGAAGGAGGAGGAGGAGAAGAAGAAAAAGAAGAAGAAGAAGAAAAAGAAGAAGAAGAAGAAGAAGAAGAAGAAGAAGAAGAAGAAGAAGAAGAAGAAGAAGAAGAAGAAGAAGAAGAAGACGAAGAAGAAGAAATAGAAGAAGAAGACGAAGAAGAAGAAAGAAGAAGAAGAAGAAGAAATAGAAGAAGAAGAAGACGAAGAAGAAGAAGAAGAAGAAGAAGAAGAAGAAGAAGAAGAAGAAGAAGAAGAAGAAGAAGAAGAAGAAGAAGAAGAAGAAGAAGAAGAAGAAGAAGAAGAAGACGACGTCGAAGAAGAAGAAGAAGAAGAAGAAGAAGAAGAAGAAGAAGAAGAAGAAGACGAAGAAGAAGAAGAAGAAATAGAAGAAGAAAACTTGCTTTTCTTTTAATTGTCATTCTTTTTCTTTTGCATTTAAAATAAAATTTCTATTCTTGTAAAAGCTATATTTCTTATTGCCATTTTGTCCTTGGCAATATGCTAATTAATAAGGCTTTTATTGCTGTCTAGTTTTTACAAAAAAATATCTATTACTATCTACCAGGCAATACCTGGGACAAGGACGAAAACGGAAAGTTCTGCGTCGGTTGTGGGCCTCAAGAGGAGTTCTTCAATTGTGCTGACGTCAGGATTCACGCTCGTGGTGGCTCGGCGGAAGTTCCACAAACCGGAAACTCAAAACCACTGATCCAGAGTGGCGGAGAGCGAAATGGTAATAATGCTGACATAATAAACAAGAAGGAAGACGGTTATTTTAACAGCGAGAAAGATAATTTGGACACCCATGCAGGTGACAGAATGAGCGATTACGGAAGGCAGAAAGTCCGTTTTCTTCAGAAGCTTGAGAGTAATAAATATTCTTCGTGGGACAAACCCAAAAAAAATGAAGGAAAATACAACTATGGATCACCGTTTGCCCATCTTGCACGAAAAAGTAGTGACGATTCTGAAAGGGAGATAAGGAAGAAGATGGCACCTGGACAAATAGATGGTGATTATCGCCAATCTCCTATCGCCAGATTTCAGCCAGATCAAGTTTCGGACTATCCTCGGGCAGCTGGAGTTTCTAACAGCAGTGAAGTTGATAGAATTCGTCGCCGTTTCGGTTACAGTATCTCCTCAGCTCGAGATAACCACAAAAAGAACATTTCTAATGAGACTCAAGGAAAGACAACTCGAAGGGTTACTGGCACAAGTAACATTGGCATAACAACAGGGCCTGCTAATAATCAAAACAATCATACACATCATAGTATCAGAACCTCACAAGTATCCAGACAAACCTTATATCCAAATCCTAAAAGGCATTTAGGTGTAACCGCAATCGCTCTAGACGATACTAAATTAATGAAAAACGATGTCCTAGATTTTCATAAAAGTCCATTGGATGTGGTTAAAGGTATAAGAATAAATAAAAAAGAATCGGACAGTTTTCTACAACAGTGGAAACTACAGAGACTGAGACGTATTGCAGCACTGAGGGCTTTGCAAACTGCGAGCAGGAACAAAGTCAGATCGTGGCACTCGACACAGAAGAGCCACCAGGTGACTCGGCCAGTGATGAGAACCACACGCATTCAGACTAGAAACAGCACCACCACTCCGTTGATACTCTTCACTCGTCCATCACAAGAGGTGCGTCAGTTTAAGCAGAGAATGGGTTCCAGCAGATTTTCATCAGCGGTCGATGCTGAAACCAAATCTCCAACACTGCAACTGGACAATAAGAACAGCAACAAGAAGAACCAGCTGCCAGGTTGGTTGGCTACAGCTTTGAAGTTTAAGGAAAGCGAGACTGATCAAGATTATAAAACTAGTAGGAGAAACAATAATCTTAACAAGGAAATCCGCAAGCTTGCCATCAAAGGCATTGCTAACAGTGAATTGAAAAGGAATTTCTTTACACCACGGTTTACAGGTGTACCTTATGGATATGGAGATTTTCCATCACTTAAAAGAATTACCAATACTAAACAGAACAGAAAACTGGCACACACTTCAGTGGCAGCGAAACCAACTGAGTTAAGTAAAATCCTTGCAAATTATGACACAGAAGATGTAGAAAAACACAAGGCAGAGGATTTATCTGATCCCTTGTATCAAGACATTCAAGATAACGTTGGCACAGAATCGCTAGTCCGGTATATTGTTTCTCTGTTAATTTCACAAATGAAAAATGATGATTTAGACGCCTACCCAGGGAAAATAGCAATACAAAACGAATCTATGCTTGGAGATATTTCATCGTCAACAATGGCACCAGTCATCACAAACCTCAAAGATACAACGTCTCGGAGACATCTGTGGTATACCCCAGGTCTTGTGTCAGCGTCCGCCACTAGACAGGTTCCAGACAGCAAAAACATTATAGACTACAAGACAATAAGATCAAAAATAGGAACTATATCTAACATTGAAGAAGGTTTACATCAAGAAGGTCAAAGACAACATAACAGTCTGTTTCCTTCCGTTCGGGGAGAAGTTAGTGCATTTAATGGACTTATTTTGGGTTCGGATTATGGTAATAATCAGAGATTGAACAGAAATCAAGTGGAGAAATATCACAACTGGAAAACAGCAGTGCACACAGACACACACGAGGATGTGAACGGTCAAGGAATCACCAAGCAGACCAGTCTCAGCAACATCAAAAGCGGTCTTGCTGGCATTAGTAATAATGTATACCAGAACAAGTACAACAATAAAGATTACACAGATACGAGAAGCGATAAACAGGGACGTGAAACAAGACCGAAGCCTCAAGTGCAAGAATCACCACAAACTCCCATCGATCCTCACCAACTTTGGTCTATAAGAGCAGAAAAACGCCGAGATCATTACAACAGGCAACAGGTAGTGGCCCGACCGCAGCTGGTTTGTGAATCTTTGATTGTGCTCAGTGGAGGCATGGATCGTTGGTGCACTGACAACTGCAATGCCAACTTCTGCCCTTCGTCCCTGTGTGTCTGCACCGTCAGAGAACCCGCCAGCTCATCTCGGGTTGTACACATTCCTTTGGCAGCTCCCGTGAAAGATGTCTGGGCCCAGCCCAAACAGCACAATCGGGCAGCAGCAGACCAAAACATCATTCAAGGTTTATTCACTCCCATAAATGTCAAATCCAAAAACGATAAGCATATCACAGCTATTAGAACATCCATCACAAAATCCCCTCAATATTCTACACAAAGCAGTGAAAGATCATATGGAAAACCATATAGAAATCCTGTTTTTACACAAACACCATCTATAAACAATTTGAATTCTTTCGACCACGAAACAAATACAGATAAAATGAGTTTATTTCTGGATAACTTATTAAGTCAAGCTACAAGTCTCCTGCAACAAAGAGCAGACAACACTGACCAATTCAAATCAACAAAAATAGTGTCCAGTTACTTCCCTCATCCAGAAAGCACGCTAGAAAGTCGGAAAACCCCGTCTACTCACGACAGCTTGCAACAAAATGGCGCACAAAAGAAGGCAAATCATCACAACTTTGAGGGAGATCACAGGAACCAGCCGCAAACTCCCCGAAATGTCGTGAACTCCCATTTCCAAAATTTACACCAAATTCCAGAGTTATCTGAAAGATTAAACTGGTATACCAGTACTAACAATTATAACTCAAGAAACGATAATATTCCAGATTTGAACCAAAACAATCAAGCAAATAGAGCTGGAGTTGTGTTTCAGCCGTACAGTAATCAAAACCAAATCATAAACAACGGACCTCTTACAGAATCGGCCTTCTCAGACAGCGGAATTTATAATATAAAGAACACACAGGCACCCATTTTACTCAGCAGAAAGACCATATATTCTCAGAAGCCCGTTGCAAGGTATGGGCTCCCTGGAAGGCCTGGGGTAGTCACGAGTGAAGTGCAGTCTAGGCTAGCTTGTAGAGCGATC